TCTCTTTTCAGCCTTTTTCTTCTTACTCTTGCAATCTGCGAATGAGATGTAATAGATTATCCCTTGTTAACAAGAGGAAAAAGGAGAAGGAAGAGAAGTAGGAGAGTGCGAGTCATGATACCGCAACACTGTCGCTTTTATTACACGCATCAGCTAAACCCCAGTTTTTATGTGCCTTCTTTGTCGTAAAGTTACAAAAGAAAGTAGACAAGATAAACAATAATATGCCAAGCAGATCCCCCCCATATTTATAAAGACAGGATCCCCAAATTTCTCTCAAGGGGAAAGGCCGGTGGCAGCACCTATAAAACCAAATTCCAAGAAAATGCACGATCGTTCTGTTGCCAGGTTTCCAAAGATAAAAATCCAAACACCCCTTTTCTCCCAAAAACTCCGTCGCTCATAGAGTGAGAACACCAGCAGAGATCGAAAATAGGCTGTAAAGTAATATATATATGTATAACACAAAAGAGAGTCGTAAATTCGTTCAGGTTCTTTTTTTTTTTTTTTTCTCTTTTTTTTTTTTTGTGTAAAATTGGCTGTTCCGTGGGGGTCTGTTTCGAGTTATCCGAGTAAGTCAAGGGAAATGGATGCGATGCATGCTATACATGCATGTCGATAATGTCTTCGCATCATTCTGTCTCTCCATTCTGCATTTTTCCATTCATGAAGATCGTCGCCACTTGCTGAACCGGTTGGTCTTTTTGGGGCTGTGCATCACGCTGTCGGGAGAAGAAGGCGGTGTCTCGTCGTCCTTCTTGATCGATTCGGCGCTCTCGCTGCCAGTCTTGGACTGAAAGCTGGCCTCGGAAGGGCTCGTCAGCTTAGGGGCCACCTCCTGCTGCACGCGGAGGCTGGTGCTGGAGCGGGAGTGGGAGAGCGACAGTGAGATGACGCTGCTGAGGAGCTCGGTCTGCGGGCCGACGAGGCCCTCCATGAGGCTTCGCTTATGCTTGTGTCGTCGGTGGAGGAATGAGAGGCGCTTGCGCTTAAGGGCGTGATCGCCGGCGAGTTCGTCGTGTGAGATGCAGGCGTTTGGTGAGAGATCGGCGTCGGGGTGAGGCAGGGTAGTGTTGCTCCCTTGAGAAGAAAAGTGTCAGTAAATATATATATATATATGTGTGTGTGTGTGTGTGTGTGTGTGCTGTATGTATGTGTATATATATATATATATATATATATATATATTTATAAATTTTACATCGAAACATGTCCAGATAGGGAGAAAGAGAGAAGAAAATCAGCGTGATCCAAGGAGAGTGCTTACATCGATCAAAGGGTTCTGGGAAGCCCGTATCCCGGCTCGCACGACGAGATGCCTGAGATGTCCTCTGAGAAGCCATGGTGATGAGGTTTAGAGGAAAGGTTTGGATGAAATTTGATGAGAAAAAGTCGAATTATCTCCAGCCCGAGCTTCTTTCGAACGTGTCTTCTGCTCTTTAAAAGGAATAAAGAGACGTGAAAGCAAACTGGATGGGCCTGGTGGACGCAAACAACCGAATGACAGCTTGGCGCGTGGTCTTTGTAAGAGTGAGTCTGAGTAAGTTTTGGTGGCTGGTTGAGTGACCGCCCCGCCTGCAGTGCGTTTGGTGCTCGAGCAAGTACCCCTTGGTTGGCAGTGTTTCGAGGCGAGGTGAGCGGCGTAGGTTGTGGACGTGTGTAAATGGGAAAATGGGCAGCAGCAAGGTTTCTTTAAACCCCCTTTGGGTGAGAACTAAATCGGCCAAAGAACCATAAAAACAAATAAAAATAAAAATAAAAATAAATAAAAATAAAAATAAAAATAAATAGAACAATCCAGCAGGATCCCCCAGCAAGGGTCGCTTTGATGGTGCTTCAAGGAGCCGAACCGCCCGAGTCTGGGATGTGGGAAATTTCAGCGAGATGAGGGCGGCTACAACAAGATTATAAGCAACGGAGCCAGTAGTGCGTGTGTGGGGATCGATTGGAGGGAGCGAGAGAGAGAGAACAAGAGGAGGAGAGTAACAGATGGCAGCTATTGATTAGTACAGATACTTTTTGCAGATTAGTCGCTATATGTACCTCTGGCAATGCACCCGCATGCAAGGCAAAGGCGATGAATCGTGCCAGCCGCAGCATGGGTGAACTGCTGCTAGTGGCCACTTTGTCGCTGTCTGTGCAGCACCTCGCGGCCCAGAGGCAGCTGATGGGGGAGGAGAAGTAGCACCACCTGGGCCAGCCTAGTCCCCCGGCAGCCGTAGCCGTCGCCATCGCCGATAACTCGGATTTAGCATCAAGGCCATCCATTTCATTAACTCAATACCTTAGCACTATTGACTGATTGACTGTTACCTGCATTACGAGTACATTACCATTGGGGCTGGTCCATGATTGAATGGGATTCACCACCTGGCTGTTCCGTTACCGCGCCGCAGCACTGACGCTGCGCTTCAGCCGTCTGGCCGGGTCCCTGCCTCAACGCTCTCAGCAGGCCATGGGCCTAGAGCCCGATGACTGGACTGTTTAGCGGTATTCCGCACTCACTGGTCCTGCTGAAAGCCCCCCAGTGTCAGAAAGTCCTAGCGGATCTGTCCCAAGGGTGGGCGGCAAAACAGGGGCCGTTAGATGGGCCGCTGCACGGTATAATGTACAAAGGACAGCTAATACCTACTTACTACTACTAGGTACATGCCGCTCTGTATAATGCATTAGGCTCAATCAAAATGATTCTGGTACTTTGGCTCCGGGTCAGTGCTATCGATTGCTGCGCCTCGCTCCTGGGTGGAGCTGGGGGTGAGTATAAGGTAATGAAATAAGACGTTACGGAGCAGACAAGAAGAAAAAAGCTGGGGAATCTTGTAGGCGAGGGAACAAGTTCTGGCGACCGATGGAAGCTTCTTGGGGTTCGCGTCCGGTGTTAGTGGCGGTCCAAGGCTTGAAAAGCCAAGTTCTTTAGCAGCGCGCGAACAAGGCCCTATACAGGGCGGGGGCGAGCTTTGATGGCAAACCAATTCATCATACTGTAGGTACACATACTTTGTAGCCTGTGAGAATGGATTAAGTACGGGGTGGTGTGAAGGCTACATTGCATCTACATGAATTGTTTCAGGCCATCCAGTAGCACTTCGCATGGCACGCCAGAAATGACGGATGACGTTATCATTAATCTCTCCATGGGGACAAAGTCAACGCTTGTTTGCGAATACTAGTATGTCGCAGTAAGGTACATGTAGTATAGAAACCACTAGTAGGTACATTACACCTCTGAATATGACACTTGCGATGAGCCGGTCTTCAAGTGCACTTTGGCCTCACCCATAGCGTCGTTTACACCTATGAACACGCTTTCCTACATGCCAAAAGCCGCCATCCAGGTCGCCAATCTATAGGCAGAAGCAACCTTCCTCACGATCCGTCTACTGCCTAGCAGGGCAGGGTAGTTGACAAAACAAAACACATGTGGCAGCACGAAAAGCTCTCGTCAATTGGGTTCTCTACCTAGTCCCGTTGCGAAGCTTATTCACTCAGCCACCTCCTTCACCGTAACTGACGAAAGGCGAGAACATGATCAGCAAGAGAGAATAACCCTCACCAGATTTTTAGGTTTGTTTCTCCTAGCCGATATTTCTGAGCTGTTCGGTTCTTGGCTCTTGGCATTCGATCTTGGCGCTTGGCGGCTCTGCCATCAGCCAGCCATTGATTACAATATATCATACCGGCTGATCGCGTCTCTCTGGCGTATTAAGTTGTGCAACAGAATTATTCATTGGTACGCAAGGGAGCAACACACACAAGCTGGCTCGTGCCCACACCCCATCATCCCGTACTGCAGCAAGCCTAGCCGCTCGGACAGCGTCCATGCCATGTGAAGCGGCAAGCGAATTGGGATCGCGCCCTCAGAGCCAAAGAGGCCGCCCTATCAAACACAAGCCGGCTCGGGGAGCCGAGACGAACCAGACACACACCCAGTTTCGAGACCAGGCGGCCTGGACCAGTCAGTGTGCATGTCTGATCCATCTCATTCAGAAAAGGGCGGCACGGTACGATAGGCTAGCGGTTGGAGTTGGAGAAAGGCTCGTAAACACGATGCTACCTCTTTCATGCTGTACGATGCCACAAAACGACACGGTGATGACAAAAGAATGAACTTTGAAAGGGCAACCAGCACTAGTACGTACAGTGTTGCTGCTGGTAAGCTCGCATTCGTCTCTTTTCCTCTCTTCTTGCGTCTCTGGGGCTCGGCGCTGTCGTCAGCCGTTGTCACAGAAATTGGCCACTTCGGATGTGGTGTGCCGTCCGGCCAGTCTCCAGTGTATGGACCGCTGGCCCGGCGCGCACCCTCGAAGCGGATTTCCCAACAGATTGGATTTGGGGCTCCCAGGCGCTGTCTTGCCTGATGTAGCACTGACACAATCACACCCCATGCGCGTACTTTTTGATTTGTACATACAGGGCAGCATGTACTGCCACCTGCGCTAGGCGGGGGATCGGTGTATGAAAAACTGCCAAGGCGGTGCTCCGCGCTGGCACGGATGAAGTCCGAGAGGGTTTGGAGACGGAAGCAGACACGGCCGGTGGCTGGTCCCTGGTTCCGCAGTCTCAAAATTCTGGGACTGGAGTCGGTCCTTCGCAGCGCGGTATTTTCCCATTGACGTTTTCCTGTACGCAGCTGCTGTCTACTCAGTAGGTAGATACATAGCACTGCTGGTACATAAATATGTAGTTGATATTCATACAGCAGTAGTGAGCATCTAGCTTGATGCGTTAAAGGTACGAGTCACGTCCTGCGTTGATCTAACAAGACGAAAACGAAAAAGACTCTCATGACCTGAGCATCCATGCATCGCTCTGCTAGGCATGGAGCAGAACGATGCGCCATGTGCACGTAAAGCCACATCTACCTTCTCGGATTGGTCCGGGACTCTGCTAAGCCGGGCCACTTACAGACGCATGTCTCGCAGCCGCAGCTCAGCCAACCAGCTAAAATGATGCCTAGAGCCGCAATAGCGTCGCTCCCTTGTACGAGTAGCTTTGCAAGCAGGCGCTACGAAGTATGTATGTAGCATAGCTGTTCAAACACACTGAGACATACATGTTAAAAGGGAAGAAGAAATCCACTGTTAACACTCATACTACTACTGCTGCTACTCGGTGGCTGGCTGATGTAAGTGCTGTGCATGAAGCTAGCATCTAATGGCGGTGACGGAATTACAGCAGTGCACCAATACAGCATCAAGCATTTCTGGACAACTCATCTAAGAGCAAGATTAGAAGCTGGGAAAAGACCAGGGTTATATGCGAAGGGTCGATCCATCGATACCCGGGCCATGATGACGATGGATCGCCTTCTGCCACGGAACGCGGCATCAGCCCTCAACTTACACTTAGGCTACATGCCACTACGCCAAGTTCATGCGGCGTTTCCGCTGTTGCAGATGCCGGTGAAAATCCGGTCAAAACTACTCATCGTCGCCTTTTGCTGGGCAGCCCCATTTGCCATTGCAGCTGATGCCAATCCCACGTCGAGCATCATATTTGCGACTTGGAGTCCCTCCTGTTGATCAGTATTTGCCTCTCGGGACTCAGAACCATGGCCGACTGGTGATGGAGAGCCCCACGAGCCCCAGTATTAGGCGGTTCATTTTTTTTTTTAAATACTTTAATACAAACATACAGTAGGGACTGAAATGAGTGTCCGCTTTTGTCAATGTAAAGTTTCTCTCCGCACGGGCCACTTTGCGAGCCTGTGGCTGGTACAGTGCGAGCTTCTTATCATCATCATGTACTTGTTTTTATGGCGGACCTAAGGAGCTGGGGCTACTGTCGCTATTATCTTATAAGTTGACTTGCAGTATAGCAGAAGTGGCATAGTTTTACTTCATAGAATTGATCATAGGTCTGGGCCGAGTTGAATCTGGTGTTAAACTCAAGGAGCTTGGCAAGCATACGCTTCCTCGCTAAGTACTAATGGACTTAGGGGTCGTCTGTATCCAGGGAAGTTTCTTGTGTTACGAGATGTACCGGCGGACGACAAAGGGCCGACGGGCACGAGATGCCAATATGGCCGCGTTGGCTTTGACGTCGGCCAACGTAGGCGTGCCTATGATGCTATGGTTTCACGTTGATGATTAGCCTTAGAGGGTGTGATGAGAATGTATGTGCCCCAAGTAACTCTCCACCACCGCACAAGAGGGCAAAGAACATGTAGTGTGTGCGTCCACTATGGTCATGAAAGGAAGAAGAGGGAGATGATAGGACTTGCAGGGCGGCACTTAAGCGTCGTTATTCATTGAAGAAATTGAATGCACCATGCATATTGGAGTCGGTGTCTCCTGGATGACTCCAGTCGTTGAAAGGGAAAAAGCTCATGATTAGGATCGAGACTTAGTGAAAGGGGATAATATAAGCTTTAGCAGATTGATGCCGCTCTAATGAAGATGGTTGCTTGACGGCCATGAGAACGGAGACCGGAGAGAGAAAAGAGCAGGCTTTTATACTTCTCAAGAGTATAGAGGTTGGCAAGAGCCATTGCTGTGGATTTTCGGCTGAAATGGTGGGAAACGCAGAGGCATGGGGGCGGCACTGGAGCGCCGGAATGTGCAAACGGGTGCAATAACTCGGAGGAGAATCAATGAGTGAGAACTCCTGATCGTGCTAGATAGTATGGACAGAAATCTGTTTCTTTTGTCAAGAGGCTACATACATGTCTAGTATACACGTTTCAATCCTCTGGTCCCTGCCAACTTACTTACATCAACAGGGTACCTCGTCAACCTCACGGCTCCTTATAGACGATCCTCATCCATCACCCGTTAAATAACACTGCACACCGACTTCTTCGAAATATTCTGCACCAAAGCATCCCTATCGCGGAACCTCTGCGGAAACTTGGCCAAGTCGGCCGCCTTCATCACCCCCCCGCGCCTTGGACGCCTCCCCCAAGCTCTCCGTCTTTGGCAACTTCCCGCCGCCGCCCGCCGCGCCGACAATGAGCCCCAACATGGCAAATGGCGCAGACGTCGGGTCCTTGATGATGTCGGCAATGGTGACGGCCGCGTTCCCGGCCTCGCTGACGAGCAGCGCTTGCCTACCCCGAAACGAGAGGTGGTTATTGATTTTCAAACGGGCGTCTCCTCACTTCAGCAGAAAAATTATATTCAGCCTATAAAGTTACTTCATCTTAGTTAATACTTGCTTTAAGTGTAATCTTCTCGCACCAACAGTTGCTTCACTCCTTTATCTGCGACCTGATATTGAAATGATTGGCTATTTAACTCGGCTTAAATATCATCAAGGTTGGCTATAATCATCTTCAGAGATCCTCATAACTATGAACTTCAAAAAAGTCATTTCGAGCAATCGGATGCTGTACAGAAGGCACCGTGCCCACATTCCCATCCACATCGCAGTCGTCGGTACAAAGCATGAACAGGATTTTGGGTGTAACTCGCGGTAGCTCTTTCTTGGCCTGTATAACCCAAGGATTGTCATCGTCGAATCGATTCACGTAGTCTTCACCGTCCCCCATGTAGACCAACCGCCGGCCGTCTGGAAGCTCCTCAATAATTGGATTCCAGGCTGAAAATGGATCCCCATCAAAGGGTATGCAGTTTTCCCAGTTCATCTTTGCGCGCAGCCATGCAGTTGCCATCATGAGCCAGACCACCTTTTCCGTCCAGTCTTCCACGCGAGATCGAAAGATGGGCGACAGGATACGAGAAAATAGTTTGATGACCTCAGTTCTTTTGCGGTTGTAGATGTCTCTCTTAAAGAGGGCGTGGAAAGATCTGATGTTTTGCTCATCGTCAAAATCCACTAGTTGAACTGGTGCATCAAGCAGCAGGCCAAAGAGGCCCGACGCGACGGCGTGCCTTCTTGTTGCATGTACAGTGATGAAGGCCATGGTAGCGGATAGGGAGATATTTGTAAAGGGCCTCGGATCATGGTAAGCGTACTCGTTGTAAACCACGTTCAAATCTTCATCTACAAAGTCGTCTCTGATTTCAATGCGCGGAAGCCAGCGCATCCTGGAGACGTCTTGCAATCCCAAGTCAAAATTGAAGTAGTACTCGGAAGGTATTGATAACGGGACCGTGCCGAGCCAACTTAATCCGTCCTTGATAAACTCATCGACCAGCTCTTTATCCAACCCCTCCTCCAAAATTGCCTCAGCTGCCTCAGACGTAAAGTTAAGATGATAAGTGTCCAAACGAGGCTGAATCCATATAGGCCCTAGGTTCCAGGTATAGCCCTGCGAGACCATCTTGCCCCAGCGCATGGCGACCTGTCTTGATTCGCGACAGACTGAGGCAATGCGTGGCGGAGCAGCATTCTTGAGAGATGGCCGCACAGACCAACATTTGTGCTTCTTACGGAGGCGCTGAACTTCGTAAGGATCGTCTCTCTGGACAACTCGATGAGGTAGACAATGGAACCAGATAGCCAGGCGAAGCTCCACTGGCAAGAGTGTGAACTGGGGGAATGCGGTCGACTGTGTTTCCATAGTGGAACAAAGAAAATAGTTGTTGTGCCTGATTAGAGTGCGTTTATAAGGGTATAGTAAAAGGGAAGAGATTATCTATATGGTACATATAGAAAAGCAATCTTTTTAAGTACTTTAGTAAACTTATGTTGCAAAGCGTAACACATAAAATCAAAGCATTATTAAAGGTATATAAAATCCTTAATTATTAATAAAGGAAATTATAATTATATAGCTTATTTATAAATATATACTAACTTATTACCTAAAGGCTATACTATTAAGTAGTCTTATAATAGTAGAATATCCCGACCCAATGAATGTCAAACTGCTTATATACAATTATTCCGTATCCTGGGTAATAGTATTGCTTCGACTGATGCAGGAGAGCGGCTATCTTAATAGTGCAGGGCAGTGCTATATTAATCGTGCGGTCGCTCAGCTACAGGTTTGGTTGAACTGTTTTGTATCAGGGCACGTTTCATCGAATCATCCCATTCATTAAATTATTTCGCAATGCATTGGGTTTTAGATTTATTAGCAATACTTATAGGACAAAAGAGCCTGTTTTAGGCGCTTCTTAGTGGCATAAATTGGCCGATTCTATTGCTGCCTACTAGGTGGCAGCTAACTAACGTCCCAAATAAAGGTTAGTTTCAGCTCCTAATATGGCCTGTTTTAGGGTACAACCTGCTCGGAAGCTGCGCACGGTATCAGCCACAATGCGCCACAAAAGTAGTCCGTGTGGAGAGAAACTTTTCATTGACAAAGCAGACACTCATTTCAGTCGCTACTGTACAGTACGTAGTATATATGTATGCGGAATCCAACCCACTAAATGCACACCTATCCTCTTGCTATCGATAAGTAATTAGCTGCGGGAGATCCTGTATGAAGCGAGATGGGCTGGTAAGGTTATCCACTATGCCATGCTCCTATTTAGCCTCCTTTCTTCCCGCGGCTGGGGGAATCAGTTTTAATGCGTCGAAATGCCAAATCTCTTTGCAATGATGATTCTCGGTGGCATCATATACCCAATGACGAGAGAAAGGGATGCAGTACACTCGGATGCCATAAACACTTCAACGTTTTATTATAATAGATTCAACCTGAGTGGGTTAATTGCCTACTACGACTAGCACTATTAGCCGTTTGTCTTACAGCTGTCAATGCTAACCATAAATCATAGCTTATATCACATAGAGAAAGAAACCGTTTCATTGTTCGCCCAATGCCGTAGCCACAAAATCACATGCTCTCAAATACTGTCAAAGACCGACGATTTTCCCATTGCCAAAAATGCCTACACTAGATTACATGTGTCATACATAGTAAGCGGGCGGTTTCTTTGATCTTTTTTTAACAACGCGTGGAAAGCCCGGATATGCTGACGAAGCACTAGCACCGCCACACACGCACACACGGCCTTGGCGAACTCGTAATGCCACACCAGCCACAGCCATGAACGCTCTCCAGCGTCGCTGTGTCGAGGACAATCAAACCCCTTGGAACGTCAACACCAACAATCAACATTCTGTAAACCGCCGGCCTTCCTTCGACCTACGCGCATTGCTGTGCCTGTCGAAGCCACCGACATGTCCGACACACCGCG